ATATATAATAATAATAATAATAATAATGAGAAACTGATATAAACAGCTCACAAGATAACAATTTCATGAAATTTCAAACCAAGTGTACTGTAATTTTGTATTATTACATAAAATGCAGCTTGATTAAACTCGGTATATGAATCCGCAAATAATTCGAAGAAACGGTGCACCCCTCCTTAACAGCGGTATATATCTTAGTTTATGACCCTACAGTTTAGCCTGATCTCTCCCTGGCCACCAGTAAGTGGGGATATAGCCCCCATATTCTGGATTGCCGAAACAAAGTCTGCAAAAAAGTTGTCGGAATTTGTAACGTATGAGCTCACTTGAGAGTCTGTAGAGCCATTATTGAAGAGTTGTTGATCAGAGTGCAAAAGGCCATTACTATTCACTAAGCTGTTGTAGTATTCATTGTCAAATACTACAGGAGTTTGAAAATCAAAAGGAGAAAGGTTGTTGTCTCCTCCAACGCTCGGGCAATTGGATTTCAGTGAGTTGGCGAACAAGGGATTAATGTTGGTTTCATTATAGATCCGAGTTCGAAATGTGGAGCACCTTGCTTGACCAATTGTGTGACCTCCTGTGAACAAATGAACCGAATTCAAGTAAAAACATCTGGGGCTAACCATACATACATTTAAGATTTGCTTTATGTGTATGATATTTTGAATGGTAGTCAATTATTTCTCATGTTGAGGATTATTTTTTAAGGATATTTGGCTTTATGTAATCGAGTTGGTGGTGAACGTTCAAATACCTGATAGGGCAACCAAATCGTTGGTGGAAAGGCCTTTCTTAACAAAAGCTGATATAAGAGTGCTGAGGTCCGATGCTGGGCTGGGAATGTCGCTGTTGGCTTCACTCAAGCTTGCAGTAGTAGAATCTCTTCTCCCAAGTAGCACCTCCCATTCGGGGCCACCAAGCTAAGAAAGAAGAATTTAATTTAATTTTATATTGTATTTATTGGACTAGCTAGTCAGAGATTAATGTTAACAAGTGCAAACGAGTTGGTTAATTGGTTAAATGTTGGATGTGAATATTTTCATATTGGTGATTCCTTCATACAAAAAAAAAAAAAAA